CGCCTCGGGGCCTGGGGCTGCTGGGGCGTCGGCCCCCTGCGCCACACGGGCTGGGGCGAGGCGAGGGGAAGTAGTTGCTATGCTCAGGGGGTGACTGGACTGAGCATTGACGGTGTACATTTACTAAAGTGAGGTGCGTCTAGTGGTAGAAGGTACTGGAAAAGTCGAGGCAGCGGGATGAGAGAAGGCCCGAGTCGGGCAGGGTGAGATCGAAGCCAGGAGCTGGCGGAGGAAGTAGACGCGCGGAAAGCACGGAGCGGGAGCGGGAGTTGGGTGCTCAGCAAATGTGTCGTGGGTCGGGCTGACCAGTCATTATGACTTGGACAGCTGGAAGGGCGGGAAGAGGCTGGATGTGGTGCAGGGCCTTCCAGACCCCGTGGGACTATGGCTTCTGATTAGACCATAGCGAAGGTTGAAGGGCACAGCTGGCGTAGCTTTGTATGTACACATTAGTTGCTGCTAAAAAGCCTTTTTTTTTTCTTCCGGTGGCTCATGCTTGTAATTCCAGGCTGAGGTTTGTAGTTCAAAGCTAGCCTTCTAGCAGAAAAGTCCATGGGCTTTTATTTCCCTTTAACTACCAAAGGTTTAAAGTGGAACTGTGGCTCAAGTGGTAGAGTGCCAGCCTTGATAGAAAAGGCTCAGGGACAGTGCCCAGGCCCCGAGATTGTCCTAGTTATTGGCTGAGCGCCCCAAACCTGTAAAAGTATATGCTTCAGAAAGGGAGAAGTTGCTAGTACTGGGGTTTAAACTCAGGGCCTGGGCACTGTCCCTTAGCTTTTTCAATCAAGGCTGCCACTCTACCACTTAAGCCACATCTCCACTTCCATATTTTTGATTGGTGCTAAGAGTCTCACTAACCTTTGTGTCCTGATTGACCTTGGACTATGATCCTCAGGTCTCAGCCTTCTGAATAACTAGGGTTGCAGGCCTGAGCACCGGTGCCTACCTTGAGAATTCCGTGCACCCATGTGGTCATCACAGGTATGGGCGTTTCTGTTTCACAGGTTTGGACTCCCTGCACACAGGCAGTTCAGCAGTGGAGGCGCCTACCCCAGCATTCCCCTCTCTTCCCCCTTACCTGGTGTGCCCAAGACTGTTTTTGCTACAGTTGATGGACAGGAAAAGTTTGAAACTAAAGTTACCACACTGGATAACGGACTTCGGGTAGCATCTCAAAATAAGTTTGGGCAATTTTGTACAGTAGGAAGTAAGTACTCCTGGTGCATGGGGTGGTCTTTCATGCTTGACTATGTGGTGCCCTCAGTTCACTGTCAGTTGTAACTGGCGTACCAGTTATGAATTGTGGCCTGAGTGGAGGCTTGTTAAACAACCAGAAAACAACTCAAATAAGAAGCAGTGGTAATTACGGGTGATTGCATTTAGCAAAATGGCTGGCCCCTTCACCCTCCCTTCCTGTAATTCTGAAGATGTTCACCATGTGCAGGATTCCCTGGAAAGCAAGGCATGCTCAGGATAATGAATGTGCTCCCCTGTAATTATGTTGGCCATAACAGTCATGGTTTTGAGAGGTTTTTCTAGGTTAAATCTGTTTTGATTATTTAACCTGTCAATTTTTCCTTATCAGTTCTTATTAACTCGGGATCAAGATATGAAGCAAAATATCTTAGTGGAATCGCTCATTTTCTGGAAAAGCTAGCATTTTCGGTCAGTGTCTAATTTGTAACTTCTGTGACTATGCTCTTGGGTAGAAATATACACACACACACACATACACACATATATATTTTTATTTTTTAATTTTTTTTTTTTTTGCCGGTTGTGGGGCTTGAACTCTGGGCTTGGGTGCTGTCCCTGCGCTCTTCAGCTCAAGGCAAGCACTCTACTACTTATTTATTTTTATTTTTGTCACTCCTGGAATTTGAACTCAGTGTGGGTACTGTTTTGTAGATTGTGTGCTCAAGGCTAGCTCTCTATCACAAGTCACAGCTCCACTTCTGGCTTTCTTTGGTAGATAAGAGTCTCATGAGCCCGGCGCTGGTGGCTCACGCCTGTAATCCTAGCTATTCAGGAGGCTGAGATCCAAGGATCCCTGTTCAGAGTCAGCCTGGGCAAGAAAGTCCAATAAATGGAAGTGGTGCTATGGCTCAAGTGGTAGAGCGCTCACCTTGAGCTGAAGAGTGAGGGACGATGTCCAGGCCCAGAGTTCAAGCCCCATGACCAACCAAAAAAAAAAAAGAGTCTCATGGACTTTCCTGCTTGAGCTCTTTTTGAATCATGATCCTCAGATGTCAGCCTCCTGAGTAGGATTGTAGGCTTGAGCCATCAGTGCCCAGCAAGACTTTGTTACTATGGTTATTTTTTGTTTTTCTGAGATTTTACCATTTTTCTTGGTAAATATTCAGTTTGTTGCAAACTAGAATGGTTATCTTAATAAATGATTCAGTTAAGTTAATGCTGATAAAAATTCTAAAAGGTAATTTGTTTTTGTGTGTTTTGAAAGCAAAAGTAATATTTGTTTTTTGTCAGGCGTGGGGCTTGAACTCTGGGCCTGGGCGCTGTCCCTGTGCTCTTCAGCTCAGGCGAGCGCTCTACCACTTGAGCTACAGCACCACTTCCGGTTTTCTAGTGGTTTATTGGAGATAGGAGTCTCACAGACTTTTCCTGCCTGGGCTGGCTTTGAACCGCAATCCTCAGATCTCAGCCTCCTGAGTAGCTAGGATTACAGGCATGAGCCACCGGCGCCTGGCTAAAAGTAATATTTTTTCTTAGATATATTTCAGTTATTCTAAACTGCTTATTTAAGCTTTCTTATTTTATAGTCTACTGCTCGATATGACAGTAAAGACGAAATTCTGCTTGCCCTGGAGAAGCATGGTGGTATCTGTGACTGTCAGACTTCAAGGTATGTCAACTTCACGCATACACAATTATGTGCGCATGTGGAGCTCTCCTCTTTGTCTTGGTCAGAGTCCCCTTGAGCCCCTTCTGTTGGGAGGCTGAAGAGATTGATGATGGCCTGAATAGAGTGTTGAGTGGAGAACTGGGGACAGAGAAACACAGCCCCCAACTGGGTGCAGATTCCACCAATTCAGCCAGTCTGTCAGCTGGCAGCCAGGGACACAACATGATCTGAGAAGGGTGGACTCGAGAGCCCTGGCTGGGCGGGGGAATGACAAGCTTAGACTGGAGGGGGAAAGAGGCACAGAAAATGTGGCATTGGGACTGTTCCTGGGAGTCTGGTAGACAAGATGGGGTAGTCTAGATCCAGGTGCAGCCAGTGGCCAGTGCCCAGGTCTGGCTGCAAGCAGCAGTATGGCGTGGTGCAGCCAAGGCATTTATTTGCCCAGTGTGTGTCGGCACCTAGACTCAAAACTCCAGCCCTGTGGAAGAACCTGAGCAGTGGGGAAGCTCTTCAAGGGGCCCTGGTAAACCCTCCTTGGTCCTGCAGGCCCATGGCTCAGCGTGGCTTCTGCTTTGTCCTCACATGGCTGCGCAGCAGTGCAGCACTCCTCACAGAGCTGTGATCTGGTGTCCTGCACGGGCCCACTCCCTTCCGGGACTTGGATTCGCTCGATCTGACATCCTACCGTTCTGGCTTGTTCCCTCCCCATCCTCCTCCGGCCTTGTGCTGTCTGGAGTGTTAACTAGACTACAAGCTCCCTGAGAGCAAGACCAGAGCTATGGGAGCTGTGTGTGTTTCCACGTGGACCAAAGCTGTGGAAGGCCACGAGTGTTTGTATGGGCCATGCACCTTTCCCTGTGGACCAGTCCTCCTGCCAGGGCCTAGGAAGCACAGGAGAAAGGGCCTCTCCTGAAAGAGTGTGTTGGTGAAAACTGCAGAAGAGTTGGCTGCGTTTGACTCCATGGTGTATTCCGTACAGGAGCCTCATCTGCAGGCAGCCGTGGCTTCTCCCACCAGGGAGTTCGTACGAGGGAGAAGGGAAGAAGACTGCAGGTCCTAGACCCAAACAGTAGAAAGTCCAAGCTAGAGCCCCAAGTCGGATGCGAGTTTGGCTCCTGGCAGTGCTGACTTCTCTTTCTTACAGAGACACCACCATGTATGCGGTATCTGCTGACAGCAAAGGCTTGGACACTGTGGTCGGCTTGCTTGCTGACGTGGTTCTGCACCCACGCCTGACAGGTATGACCCCCAAGGCCGCCCTAGGCCAGCGGGCAGCAGGGTCAGTGAAGGGCTGGAGTTAGACCAAGGCCGGCCTGGACCAATGGGCAGGGAGAACACTTGTCCCTGGAGCTGTCCATTCACGGGCCTGGGACAGTGCGATTTCATTGAACATGGTGCTGATGTTCAGAAAAGTCTGGCGTTTAGAGTGTTCGGTGCTTGAATACCTTCCTCTGCCCTTTGAGAGTTTCACTAGGATTTAGTCTTAGAGACAGTCACAGACTGCATCCATACTGCCAGAAGTTTCCACTGCATGGCTCCTCCTTCCTTGCGAATGACAGGACTTTGAGTTCCCACTTGGAATGAGCTGTGGGGAAGAAGTGCTGGGCACCCCAGCTGCCTGGCCTCATACCCCAGGCTTAGTTCTGCCTTAAGGTCCTGGGGTACTTGAGCTAGCCAGCTGAAAGAGGACGTGCTGACTGGCTTCCTAAGCACTATCCTGTCTGCCCTGGCACCTGTGAGGCAGCCGGCGTGGGGCAGGGTTAGAGGGAGGTAAGGCTCCAGGCCCCAGTCCCTGCTCACCCAGGCTCCTCCTCACACAGATGCCCCGCCCCGCAACAGTGGAAGTGACCCCCGCTCCCACCCGACCCAGCCCAGCTCAGCACCTGGATTAGTGCCACCTTCTGTGTTGTGGCTGGTGCACCCTAAACCCGTCTCTGTTCTTCCAGATGAAGAAATTGAGATGACACGGATGGCTGTCCAGTTTGAGCTGGAGGACTTGAACATGCGACCTGACCCCGAGCCACTTCTCACCGAGATGATCCACGAAGTAAGAGTCCCCACGGCAGTGCCTGCCTCGTGGGCCCGAGGTCCCTGCGCTTACCTCGTAGTTGTATTTGCAGAAGCTGCTGTGTGTGTGGACTTTTGGGTTTCCGTTTCTTAAGTGAGTAACAAGATCTTGGCGCTTCTCAGCTACAGGACCCTTTTAGTTTATATCTTTTGTGAACTTTTTTTCTTGAGAGGTAGATTGCACTACATTTACTTTCTCGGTAGAGAGACTTGAACTCAAGATTTCCCAGCATGCTTGGCAGGCATTGTACTACTTGAGCTATGCCTCTAGCCCATTTTGCTCTAGTTATTTTTGAGATTAGATTTCATAGGGGTTGGAGGCCTGGCTCAGTCGATAGTGCACTAGCCAGTGAGTGAAAGTATTAGGTACTGAGTTCAAATCGTGGTCTCAGACCGCCCCCCCCCAAAAAAAAAATAGTACCTCACTTTTTTCCCAGGCTGGCCTGGACTGTGGTCCCCTATTCGTGCTTCCTGCCCACTCTCCAATCTATTGGTTGAGATCGATCTTGTGAACTTTTTGCTCAGACTACCCTTAAACTGAAACTCTCTGCCTCCATTTTTATGCATTTTCTTAACAAGCAGACGGTGTCTGACATGAGCATTGTTTTCTCCAGAGATTGAGCTGAAGGCAGTGCCAGCTGTTGGGGAGACCTGTGTGTTCCATTCCTCACGCGTGTGTCCCTCTCCATTCTCCAGGCTGCATATCGGGGGAACACTGTGGGCCTGCACCGTTTCTGTCCCACGGAAAACATAGCAAAGATTGGTCAAGAAGTGCTTCATTCCTATCTGAGGAACTACTATACCCCTGACCGCATGGTGCTGGCTGGAGTAGGTGTCGATCACGAGCATCTGGTAGAATGTGCCAGAAAGTACCTCCTGGAGGCCCAGCCCGCTTGGGGGACAGCCGAGGCTGTGGACGTTGACAGATCTGTGGCACAGTATACTGGGGGGATTATCAAGGTAACCTGCGGTCCTGGCTATGTACATAGCTGGTGTGTACTCTGGCGTGCGTGTGCATCTGTGTGCGTTCTCCCTCAG